AGCTACTGTATGGAGGGTTCTGTATATTTTGTGTTATTTTCTGATACTATATCACAAAACAGATAAAGGCATGCCATGCAACAAGCAGTGTGAGGTACCTTCATTGTTCACTGCACAACGTAAAATTTACCTGAGCAATGATAACATAGTGTTTCAATACATTTTTACTGTGCTCCCAGTGTTTCATTACATGGTGCATCTAGCTGTAGCTGTAAGCCAGTTTTCCTGACTGTTTTGCTAGTGTGTATCTTCTACTCTACCTTCTTCCCCGCATATACACATTAAGAGCATTCCCTTCATTAAACAATAATGTGATTTAGTTATTATTTTTATCTTCTAAAACAGATAAAATATTTTTCTTTCCTATAAACTCAGCTATGAGCACACTCTAGGAGTCTGTTCCACAATCACAGAGCATCATGAAACACCAGCAAATAAGGAAAATAAGACAGTTTATTGTACCTGTCAACATTATGCACCTAAGGATGTCTTGTTACATCACAAATTACACTTTGGTATCTCTTATGAAAACCCTGCCACTTTCCACAGACATCTGAATAGTATCTGTCATACTCCTTAACACTATGAAGTTTTCCAGACTGTCTAGTCTAAATCTTCCTTGATACAAGTTTGTTATTCTGTCCAAACTGCAATGGACAGCAAGGAAAGATAATATTCTGGTACTTAACTACAACTTTTAAATGCCTGAAAATGATTATTAACACCTATACCCTATCTCTTCTCTTGAAGTTAAACACAGTTATTCAGTTCTTCCTGCTAAATAGGTCCTACTTAGACTTATGATAGCTTGCTTTGGTTCCCTCTGGATTTTCTCCAATTAATCTACACGTGTTTAAAGTGTCTCACCTTATTATCAAATCCTGATATGGATGAGAATGATAAATGAGAAGAATTTAATTGAGCAAAAGGATCAGTTTCTGATTATTGCAAGCTCTACCCTTGTCTATATTTCCTGATCTGCCTCTTTTTTGAAGTCACTGAGCTAGTGAAATGAACACAACTCGGACTCCTCTCTGAACAAACATGTACTTAGGCATTTCACATCCTTGTCTCAGTGTAATATCTTTCACTTAATCCTTGTTCAAGTACAACTTGTTTTTCCAGAACGTTTCTCCAACTTGTTAACACCATTTTTTTTCTTTTTATTTTGTCCTCCGACGCAAGTCAGGGGGAAAAAAAAAAAAAAAAGAAAAAAAAATCAAAAAAACGGTTTGGTGGTTTTGAAGACAGTAAGCCTGTTTCATTAGCCAGCTGATTAGAGAAAACAATGAACACTGGACTCCAGGACAGATCTCTGTCAAATCCTATTCTATATATTCTTCCATTTTTCTTCTATTTTGACAGGTAAACCTTTCATAATTATCCATTTGTCATTTTAGATTTTTCTGTAAAATTTAGTTCATTTGCTGTTCCACTGAAATTATACATTGAATTCTTATCATGTTTGCTACTAGTTTCAGATAAACTGTTGTTCTTATTAACAAATGAGTTTTGAAAAATATCACCTAAATTTACAATATCTCTCTCTAAGGTACACTTTATGTGGGAAAAAAACTCCCACCTCCCATACAAGCAAGACTGTATGTTTGCTTTTCAGTGAAAAGATTTGTTGACACGTAGTGATGACACAAATGCTGAATAGGCTATACAACTTATGCAATATGGAATATTTTTCCCTAAAAGTATATATACCCTAGCTGTTAGTTATAAAAAGTTTTCTAACTTTTCTGGTTTTTAAAAAAATCTTTTCCCAATTTTGATTTTTCTAATTATTATTAATGGTATTGATCTAAAAGCTTAGCTAGTCTATCAACTCTTTATTTGCCTGTGTATGCTGAATTGCCTTTACCTTGCTGACATTGCAAAAGACACTTTCTAGTATGTTAAAACTTTAGGATTTTACAGCAATGCTCCTTGTAATTCTTCTGTATGTTATGGAATCAAGGCCTAGCATTTTCAAGAGTATTTTCAGACAACGCTTCAAAATAAAATGTTAGCGATACGGCAGTCAATAGTAATTAATTTCAAATGAGCAGTATGAAGTAATTATCTTATTCTTGTTGCCTTTCTAAAGAAATTTGCTTGGGAATGAACACAACTTCAAAAATTCATAATTGCTTATTTTGAAATAAGCATGGTTTATGTTTTCCCACAGAGTTTTACTTATTTTATTTTATTTTTATGCTCTAGAAAACAGTATTAAACAAAATATTGGCCAAAGTTTAGGACACACTAGCTTCAAGCTGTATTTGTGAACTTTCTATTTAAAAAAAAAAAAATAATCATTTGCTAGAAACATGAATTGTGTTTATTTAATCATATAGTCACTGTCTTTTCCAAGCCTATGTTATCAAGGACTTCTTAGAAAATACTTGTGGATTTATCGATTTATCTTGCTATAAGATAACCTGTAGAATATCAGTTCTAGTTGGTTGAGTTTTGTTTCTAAATAACAGCTTTCTATAACTGAATTTAATCAGATAGTTGAACATACGCAGCAAAATGTTTAGGTCTGATATTATTTTTTTAATGCTGTGATAAGAAAACATTATGGATAACAAATATATATATAATGATCTTCATGTTCACTAAAATCAGTTATAGAAGTTCATTATATATTATCTCTAAAAAAGTGACTGTATACAGTGACAGGTATTAGAAATCCAAAACAAACCACAGTGTCTTATAAATCTTGATAAAAAATTGATTGAAAAGGAGCATAGTAAGTAGAATGACATACTACTAATATAATATAATGAAAAGAAAAATACAAATTTTTATCTGATTCTTTCATTCTTTTTTGCCATTCTTATGACCAGGTCCAGAAGTACAATGTAGAAAGTGAACCTAAATATCTTCTGAGATTTGAACCTCAAAATGTGGTCAGCATTATGCCATGGTAGATTTCCAGGTCCCAAAAGAACTGAAAGAGCAATGTAACTCGATAAGGTATTTCGTTGAGAAGGCTTCTTTCACTTGTGTTTCGTTTAGTAAATTTTATTTTTAAAGAATAATCTGTGAAAATCAGATACAGATCTGAAATTGGATTTTGGAAACTGTGGTGTGGGAATGTTTCTATTTCAAGATCAACTTCTACATAAACTTTAATATCATTATGCCTGCAGAAGCATTACATTCTATGTAATGTTTCACAGCTGTTTCTGGCACAGCTTTGCTGAGCCAGTGTATTTACTATGATAGAAAGCTCCTATCAGATTAACACACATCATACATGCAGTGCTGTGCTTCAGTACATCCTCACCAGATGAAGAACCAAGGAATAGCTTATGTGACTGTTGGGACTAAATAATGAGTGCAGTAAGTAAACTGTCTGAGCAAGGAAAGAATTTTTATGGGTGTCTTCTGCCAAAAGCTTCTGAAGATGAGAATGTGAGATAACTAGAAAAAAAAGACAGAAGACAAGTCAGAGGACAGACAGATTTCCAGAACCCCTGAAGAAATGTTAGGGAAGTGAAAGAGGGCTTTTTTCAGAATGGGAAGGTCTGCTTAAATGCAAGGCTAGACCTCGCCAATTCAAATCAGCCTGGAGCAAAGAAATATAGTCCCATGATCTGGGTCACCCAATAAATGTGTAAGTGAGGGAGAGAAGCAAATCCACCCACCAATCACAGACTGAAACAAGGGAATGCATTTATCATGTTTCCTTAGATTATTTATTTCCTCTTGCTACCTGAGTATAAATTAAATTCTTTGGAATCCCACAAAAAGTTTTAGCACATCAGATGCTACATTTCAAGTACAATTCTCTGTAGGGGAAGAGTGGAAGATCCATCAGTAGGCAACTAGCACATTTCTGTTCACACCTTCTAGTTCTGCAAGTTGACAGAGACATTGAATGAATCTTGTTTTCACTCCACTGATGACGAAACAATTTCACTCAAATTCCTACACATAGATCAAAATATTGTGACAAAATAAGAACATCAGGAATCACTGATAATGTGGGAGTGGGGTATAAAACAAGGGTTATCTTTAATAACAAAGGGTGATAGCTGCAACAGTAACAAAAACAGAGAGCAAATCTAAAATCCATCTTCTGCCATTCCACAAGCTATTTTTTTTTACATCCACTGCCATTTCTAATTTTAGGATGGGTCTTCTCTTCCTCAGTTTTAACCATTATTTGTCAGTCTAAGAATTTCCATTGTTTCTGGTTTTAACCGACTCTTTCTGTTCCTCTCTTCATGGTCATCTTCCTAATCCTTGATAACATCAGATTTCTGAAAAAAGTCCAGTTTAAGCTCTTAATTCTCTGGCTTCTTTACTCTTTTTTTCTTCATTTGCCATTCAACTCTGAATCAACCCATTAACTATCAAAACAGACATACGAGCTCCTTTTTATTGCACTGTGGCCTGACACTCTTGGCTTTCTATTAATCATTTCATCTTCAAGCCACCATTTGATTTCTTTATCCACTATAATTCTTGTAAACTTTATTCAGGAGCAGAATTCCTGATGTATAGTTTATTTTATAATCCCTCCTGTCTTTTTATGTATGCACATTAAGATACTGATTCCTGACTCTCAGATTCTACAGCTTCAGTCCTTTGGCATTCTTTCTACCAGTGTTCATCACTCTACCCTAAGTTTTAAATCAGACTCAGATTGTTCTGGTTTATCCACCCTTCAGCTACTGAATAGTCTGGGAGAAATCCCATAGTCAGGCTGAACAAAAAATTTTCCTCCTTCCTCAGTTCTCCTGCTCCCCCTCCATTCCTACTTTCCTACACATTATATAGTCCTATTACAGTTGAACAGTTGCTCTTCTCAATTTAGTCTTTTTTTTTTTTTCACCAACAGGTCTGTTCACTTAAATTGAAAAAACTACTGTTTTTTAAAAGCTTGTTAATATTATTTCATTAGTATCATCTTTGCACCATCCCGAATGCACACTGACAATAAAATGTGATCACCATGTACTATACAAAGGAGGAAAAAAAAATCCCAAAGCATTAAAAACATTTTTAAATATATTTACTAATTTCAAGATTCTTAGCCATTCACTGTATGCATTTACACAGCATCACTACAGAAGGGTGTTCCTTCTAAATAAAATACCCCAGGCATTTATTCCTTTCGCTATCCAATTCTTCAGTTTCTAACTCATAATGTTTCATGGCAATGAAGTATCGGATAAAAGTTTCACCTAATGCTTCCTTAATACACGAATCTTTCTCAAGTGCCACAAGAGCATCTTCTAGTTTCAGAGGCACTGTTGAATGTTTCGGATCAGCAGTGTGATTTTCTTCTTGGAGCATATCATCATACCTAAGTCCTCTCTTTACTCCATCTAGACCCGCAGCAATAGTAGCAGCAAGCACCAGGTAGGGGTTTGCTGTAGCAGAACTTAATTTATTCTCTATGTGAGTGCCTTTTCCACCATGACATTTGACATTAAAGGCACAGCTGTTATCATTATATGCCCATTTTGCATTTACAGTCTCTTTTGATTCTTTACTGTATTTAGAATAAGGCTTACGGCAGCTGGTGGTAGGAGCCATCAAGCAGCTGATAGCTGCTGTGTGCGCCAAGAGACCTGATAACCAATTTTTCCCAATATCTGAGAGCTCCTCAACTCCATAACCAACAGAAAACAGATTCTTCTGGCCATTCAAATCCCACAGGCTGTGTGACAGAGCCCCTGAATTGTAGAATCCTGATTCTGAGAAAAAGCTAGCCACATAGTTATACTTCTTAGCCACCTCTTTAATGCCTGTTCTAAATGTGAAGGCACTGTCAGCAGCATCTATGCCAAACGCTGGATGAAAAGTGATCTCCATTTGCCCAGGCCCACTGGAAGAAGAAAAGCTTTCAATGTTGGCACCAGCATAATACATTCCTTCTATGAGCTCCTGAATGAAAGTCTGGTCGTGGTTATTTAGTATCGTGGCTGCAGGAAAGGATATTGTCTTTGAATTTACGACTTCAGTAATGCCATAAATACAAAATTCGTAAGTGAAGGCAGAGTGCAGAGAAAAGCCATTGTCCTGAAGCTGGCTCAGCTGTTTCTTGGCAATGTGCCTCGGTGAGGTCATTAGCGGGTTGCCCATCACAGTGAAGGAATCACATATCACTCTTGCAGTCTGCTCAGTCCAGGGTAGTATTCGAAATGTTGATAAATCAGGGTTCAGGATTATGTCACAATTAAAATTGGTTGCATTTATGTAATCTAATTCATTATCTTTAGGATTCAGCGTCAGTTCAAGGTAACTTCTGGGCATGGCAACACCATTAATTGCTTTCTCCTAAACACAAAGCAGAATGACAGATTACCAAATGAAAAAAGAACTCAACAGTATTTTTATATATGTAAAATATATGAAACTCATATTCTCAGTAACAATAGTATTTTTCCTAAAAGAACACTAAAATGCAGTGATTGCTAAAGTGGAGGGCAACAGCCAGTTACTGTGTCATTGTGAAGAACAACTTTCTACAAGATTGGTATGAAAACCCTGTCATCAAGTATCCCAATGACCATCTTTTAAGTTTCCATAAAGAAATAAAAAAATTTTTAACACTTATCTTGCATGGTCTTTATACAACTATGGGCATCAGCAATTAGGTGCAAAGTTTGTAAGTCAGACTTCTATCTATAGTTACTCTATTAGGCTACCATATCCTCTGAGCATTTCCTTTACATAGATCCAAGTGACCACACAAGACTCATGGCAACACAAATTCAGGCTGTGACTTCTCTTTAAAATGCCATAACACATAACTCACTGTTTTTCAGATGTAAAGTGTAACTGAAGATTCTCACTTTCTGGACTTAATAAGTTTAGGGGTAAAATGCAGGGAAGCACTTCCAAGTGAGAAATTATTCTAGTGTTTCTGTATTACCCTTCTAGGTAGCCAACGGGATAAACACATTATTATACTTTCTTCTCCATTTGAACAGAGAGCTTCAGCTTACACAAATGAAATGTTGCTAGGACCCCAAGAAAGGATCATCTACCTTCAAACAACCACCTTTACCACATTCAAACATTTAGTTGATGAAAACTGCAAATATGCCAAGTTCTATCAAGTGATATCTGGTTCATGTTTACATCTTACCTTTATTCTTTCAAGGGGAAGTATTACCATCTGAGTGAGCAGAGGTATACCTATAAAGGGGCAAACTCAGAGCTGAAAAAAACTAAATTTTGCCTATCCGTTTGGAAAATTGTTGAAATACTTCAAACTGCCTATGGTGGCCTCTCTCAAAATAAATAAATATATACAGTCTGCCTTTTCTTAAGTAGGTGGCAGTCCAGTGGTAAAAATTCTCCCTGTGTGACACCCATAGCCAAAACTGCTGTATTGGGTTTGTGTGGCAAGGTTTTGGTAGCAGGGGAACTACAGGGGCAGCTTCTGTGAGAAGCTGCTGGAAGCTTCCCCAGTGTCCAACAGAGCCAATGCCCGCCGGCGCCAACATGGACCCACCACTGGCCAGGGCTGAAGGGAAAATAACTGTGGGAGAGCAATTGCAGCCAGAGAGAAGAGTGAGAATATTTGAGAGAAGCACCTCTGCAGACCCCAAGGTGAGTGCAGGAGGAGGGGCAGGAGGTGCTGCAGGCACCGGGGCAGAGGTTCCCCTGCAGGCCGTGGTGCAGCCCATGGTGAGGCAGCTGTGCCCTGCGCCCCTGGGGGGTAATGGGGGGGCAGAGACCCACCTGCAGCCCGGGGAGGACCCCACGCTGGAGCAGGGGGATGCCCCAAGGAGGCTGTGACCCCGTGGGAAGCCCACGCTGGAGCAGGCTGCTGGCAGGACCTGTGGCCCCATGGAGAGAGGAGCCCACGCTGGAGCAGGTTTTCTGGCAGGACTTGTGACCCCGTGGGGGACCCACGCTGGAGCAGTCTGTGCCTGAAGGACTGCACCCCGTGGGAGGGACCCACGCTGGAGCAGTTCATGAAGAACTGCAGCTTGTGGGAGAAACCCACGTTAGAGAAGTTCATGAAGGACTGTGTCACATGGGAGGGACCTCACACTGGAGGAAGAGTGTGAGAGTCCTCCCCCTGAGGAGGAAGGAGCAGCACAGACAACGTGTGATGAACTGACCACAACCCCTATTTCCCTGACCCCCTGCACCACTGGTGGGGAGGAAGTAGAGAATTCAGGAGTGAAGATAAGCCCAGGAAGAAGGGATGGGTGAGGGAAGGTACTTTAAGACTTGTTTTATTTCTCATTATCCTACTCTGATTTGATTGGCAATAAATTAAGTTACTTTTCCCAAATTGAGTCTGGTTTGCCAATGATGGTAATTGGTGAGTGATCTCTCCCTGTCATTATCATGAGCCTTTTGTTATATTTTCTCTTCCCCGTCCAGCTGAGGAGGGGAGTGATAGAGCGACTTTGGTGGGCATAGGGTGTACAGCCAGGGTCAACCCACCACAGCTGCACAGTATGGTGAATACTGCTCCAAGATGTCTAAGCTGTCCATTTGACACTGGAGAGGTGTTGTAGGCGATTACTCTATAGTACTACCTCTTCCTCCTCCAACCCCACTACCCAAAAAAAAAAAAAAAAAAAGAAATTGCTCTCAGTTGCTCTGTGTGATACGTGTGTGTGTGTGTGTGTGCACATACACATTTTTTAGTGTCTAGAAATTTCGACTGTCATGCAAAGTTCAATTTGTTCAGATGGTAAGGTAAACACAAAAGCTGTCTTTGAACAAGCTGATCTAGGTATCTGCAATTTGACACAGCAACTGAAAGAGAAGTTGCAGTTAACCTACTGCCCCTCACAAGAATTAAACTGACTGAGAGTTTATTTTTATAAAATCCAGATGACATCAGAGAGAGCAAATTGTATCTAGATGATACCGTTTCAGTTTAGCAATATCTAAAAGGGAAATAGTGAAAACACGCTTAGGCTTCAGAAGGAATTTGAAACAGAAGTGCTCTACCTCTTTTTATGTTCATATATTTTTTTGTGATCATCAATAAAGCTTAAAATATTCATAGTGATATGTGAATGAAAGTATAATGCACATTAAGTATCACAGAAGCAATATACTGGAAAGGCTGATCTGTCAAGGATACACACAGTGAGGATTGCTTCCTAATTTGGTTCTTATTTCCTGAACTGTTAATAGGGCAAATATTTCTATTAAGTAATCATGCAACCCAATGGTATTTCCTTATATGATTGATCACTATAAAATTTTTCATAGCTGAAGTGATTTTCATTGTCATTTTCTTTCTTTCAGTGTTTACTCCTTTCTTTTTGCAATTTGATGATGTTCAATAAAACAAAATCTTTATAATGCATTGAACCTGAAAAGATAATTCTGTGGGAAGAGATTATTAGAAGCTCAAAGAACTGAAATTACTGGCCTTATTTAATTAGATTACTATTTGAAAGAAAAGAGAAATAGATGATTGCAGTGATGAAAAATGTTCAGATCCTTTGGGAATATTAAGAAGTGGAGTGAACAGATAATTTGTTCTAAGTTTGAATTTCTGTCTGCACTATGAAAAAAATGAAGGACAGGGCCATGAAAACACATAAAAATACAGCCAGAAACCAAAGAACTTACGTGGAAAAAGCGAGAAGGAACATTCTTTGATCTTGACACACCATGGAGGTCTATTGATTCAAATCTGACAAACTGTACGTTGTCCCTGGCCATCTGCTGCTTAATAAATTCAATATGAGAGAACAGGTGAAGGAGAGTTGGACCTCCGAGGCCGTTTACATCAGGCTCTCCGCTGGATGCTATAAGTGAAGAGGAATGTTCATGTCAAACAAAATAATGAATGCTGGAATACAAGCTGTTCTTCTAAAAATGCAACAGTGGGAAACTATGTGGGAAACTCCCACAACATTGGGTGTAAAAACAAAAATAAGATCTGTGTGACAAAACATTTTTTTTTTTAATAAACACGTCTTTTTTTTCTCTGAGGACCTGATAAAATCCTGTCTTTTTTTCAATGGTCTATAACTTAAACTTTTTTTCAAGTTGATAAGAGAACACAGGAGAATCATGCAGTACAGTCCGGAATTTCTGAGGGATACCTCAGCTGGTTTGTTGGGTGCACAAATAGCAGCTGGTTACCTATTTCCCACTAAAAGCTGATAGAATTCAGATGCTGTATTTCCTCAATGCCTTTGAAAAGTGCATGGATACAGAAATATGATAAATAGGAAAATTGTCTTCTAAACCTATCTCAAGACCTACTAAGAAGGACCTCAGTCTTCTCCACCACAGGCAATAGACCGTTAAGAGAAGTTTATTCATTTATGCATTTGCTGTTTTGGAGTTGTCTTCTTAACTGTCTTACCACAGCTGTATAAGCTTCTTGATATGAAAGCAGTTAACATCTGAGTATAACTTCTGTAATGGAGCAGAGAGCTGGGCACAGTAACTTCCTTTCACAAACCTCTCAATCTCTCAACCTGCTTTTTTTTTAGTATCTATGTATTGTTATTATTCAAGTTAAACTTTATAAATTATTAATTTACATTTAGTAAAATAAACTAACTACAACAAGAGTAAAATTTGATATTAAGATATGAAAAAATGTGGAAGAAAAAAAAAAAAAAAAAAGTGTTTCTAACTTTCTGAGAGGAAAGTCCTCCATTCTTCCTAAGGATATGATCAGATGAATTTTTACAGATCTTTCAGATCCACAGTAGATCACCAACAGCAACCATTCACTACCACCCTTCAAGTGAAAATTAAAAGCTTCATGCTGAGGCACTACAAAGGCTGATGGGAGCACTCCCAATCTCTCGGGTACCAAACTAACCAGACTAGAGTAGATATCCTTTAGCAGGCAGGCACACATCTTTTTGACCTCTCCTTTGGGGCAAGTAGGACTGCCAGCTACAAGGCTGTAAGGAGGCTCTCCAGATAGCCCAGCACAAGGCTGTCTGATTTCTCCTTGAGAAGGCAGAACACTCATCCACAGTCATAAACTTCCTGGAGCCTCTGGATACTACTGGAGCATCCTCCAGCTTCAGATGGCAAGGAGGTGACAAGGGTACTTTAGGTCATAAAGTAAGAAGAGATTAAGTAGTGCTCCCTGAGGAATGACAGGTGAAAGCACAGGACAAAATTTTAAGTAAACACGAGTCTGTAGGAAAACAGTAAAAAACAAAAAGGTAGAAGCAAGAAAAAAATAATTTTGTCACATGTACTTCTTGTGACATCTTTCCCTTTGGTCTTCTTCAGCTGTAAAATGCTTATGGAATTAGCTTTTTTCCACTGTCTCCTATAAACACTAGGACACTATGTCCTTTAAAAGATGTAAATTAAAAAAGAAAGTCCTGTTTAAATATTTTGTGTAACATTCACACTGTTACAGATGGTGACAAAACAGTGAGCAGGGAGGATATGAAAACTGGCCTTGTCTTGTGTGTGTCATCCAAGTAATAGTTATTTGAATACCACTTCAGACACCCTGTAACGTTGTTTTACAACATTCATATTTACTGATGTTTAGCAGATTTGACCTCTTTATGAACCTGATCATCAATTAGAAGTTTATTAACAGCTAATAACTGTGGTTATTTATTAGATTGACAGAATTTTAAAAGATTCTGAAAATCTTTCTACAGATTAAAGCAAGTGGTGTTTTCTTCAACTCCAGCGATCTGCTTTTGTAAAAGAAGTGCTCAAACACTTACTCTACACGTGTTTAATTTCCTGTGCAAAGATGGTAGACAGGGAATGTCACACGGAGATTTTTATGTCTTGATATTATTCAGAATAAAGTTTGACTGGCAACCATCGACATCAGAATATTGCCAACTTTTGATGTAAATTTTGCAAGTATTTTTTATAATGTCCTCAAATGCTGACTGGTAAGTTTACATCTATTGAAAAAACATTTTTCAGGTAAAAACATAATTCATAAAAAACAACTCTAACTCTGACCCAGGTAATTCTTTAAGTCATTATTCATAAGAGACATAAATGATATAAAATCATTATCTAAGAAAAACACAAATGTGATATGCATTTATATTAATGATGTATGAATTAATTTTAAAAATAAAGCTACAAGTATCCTTAATTTAAACATCTACCACTGGTAGGTAATTTTCCAAATTTTATATATCCGTTGTCTTCAGGCTAAAGTTATTTGAATAAATGCATAACTACATAATTAAATTATACTAAATAATAAAAATAAACAGAAAAATCCTATAAAATAATGTTTTAAAGAATATTAAGCAAGTAAAAATTATTAACTGAAGAAAAAATAATTTGTCTTCTCCAGCTGGAGTTATGATTAATGGTAGATCATTTTAAATTATGAGCCTAAAATTTTTATATTAGTCTAATATATATTGGTCTAGAATTAGTCTAAAATTAGGCTATATACCAGTCTAGACAGCCCTCTAGTAAAAACACAGATACGTACTAATATACAATAGCCTTTATCCAAAATTTGTTAGAATCAACAGAAACACTCATAGCTTTCACATACTTTTTAGGGGCAGTTAATCTTTTACACAATTTTCAGATTATCTTTCCCATTGAAAAAATAAGTTTAAGTAAATTGTATAACGGATAAAAAATACCATCATGACTTAATCTCTGATTGATTTTGGAAATATGAAAGGGGATTTGTTTTTTAAATAATATTTAGTGAATAACTGCTGAGAATACTTACTTTTCTCTAGCACAGGTCCCAAAATATATTTTCTTGGAAGCCACTGAATAAACCTGATCTCCTTCTATGACAGGGTGACCTGCGTATTGGGTGAGGGAAAGGCTGTGGATGTTGTTTACCTTGACTTTAGTAAGGCTTTTGACACCATTTCCCACAGCATTCTCCTGGAAAAACTGGCTGCTCGTGGCTTGGATGGGCACACGCTTTGCTGGGTAAAAAACTGTCTGTATGGCCGGGCCCAGAGAGTTGTGGTGAATGGAGTTAAATCCAGTTGGCGGCCGGTCACGAGTGGTGTCCCCCAGGGCTCGGTGTTGGAGCCATTCCTGTTTAACATCTTTACTGATGATCTAGACGAGGGGATCGAGTGCACCCTCAGTCAGTTTGCAGGTGACCCCAAGTTGGGTGGGAGTGTTGATCTGCTCGAGGGCAGGGAGGCTCTGCAGAGAGACCTGGACAGGCTGGAGCCATGGGCTGAGCCCAACTGGAGGAGTTTCCATAAGGCCAAATGCCGGGGGCTGCCCTTGGGCCACAACAACCCCCAGCAGCGCTACAGGCTTGGGGAGGAGTGGCTGGAGAGCTGCCAGTCAGAGAGGGACCTGGGGGGGTTGATTGACAGCCGGCTGAACAGGAGCCAGCAGTGTGCCCAGGGGGCCAAGAAGGCCAATGACATCCTGGCTTGTGTCAGCAATAGCGTGGCCAGCAGGGACAGGGAAGGGATCTGACCCCTGTACTCGGCACTGCTGAGGCCGCACCTCGATTCCTGTCTTCAGTTTTGGGCCCCTCACTACAAAAAGGACATTGAATGACTTGAGCGTGTCCGGAGAAGGACAACGAAGCTGGTGCAGGGTCTGGAGCACAGGTCGTACGGGGAGCGGCTGAAGGAACTGGGGGTGTTTAGTCTGGAGAAGAGGAGGCTGAGGGGAGACCTCATCGCCCTCTACAGCTACCTGAAAGGAGGCTGCAGAGAGCTGGGGATGAGTCTCTTTAACCAAGTAACAAGTGATAGGACAAGAGGGAATGGCTTCCAGTTGCACCAGGGAAGGTTTAGACTGGATATTAGGAAGCATTTCTTTCCAGAAGGGGTTGTTGGGCGTTGGAATGGGCTGCCCAGGGAGGTGGTGGAGTCCCCATCCCTGGAGGTGTTCAAGAGTCGGGTCGCCATAGCGCTGAGGGATCTAGTGTGGTTGGGAACTGTCAGTGCTAGGTTAGTGTTTACACTAGATGATCTTCAAGGTCCTTTCCAACCTAGTTGATTCTGTGATTCTGTAAATCACTGGCAAACTAAGTCCCTGAAGCCAATGATGACTAAATTTTGGAAAGGTATAGTAGAGAACTGAGTACTCTGTCTTTTCCCAATTTGTAGTCATTATCCAGAGCATTAGTTACTGGAGATAAGGTAGCTAATAAATAAGTATTAGACTGCTCTAGCAAATTTACATACATTGTCTACAAGTTTTACATTCTTATGAGGGAGGATTGTGTTTCTGACTAACTGCTTCCCTAGCTCTCTGGGCCTCTCTATGTGGCATCTCTATTTTCATTTCAGAAAATCTGCTTCTATGGAAACACATATGTAAATTTCACAGAAGCTTAGATTTTGATTCAGATTTTCATTTTTAAAAATCAAAGACTGGATGTCTTAAAGAATGGAAATAAAGTACACGCAAATCCTTAGATATCTATATCAAATCAGTAGTACACAGAAAAGCACTTAATATTTGGTTTTCTATGGTTTTATCTTCATTTCTCATTTAAATTACCACTGAGAAACAATTAGTATTACTCATGTTTCTTTTTTAATTAGTCAAAAATATCTACAAATATAAACTAATTATCTTAACGTATTTTAAAATATTAATAACAAAAAACTGAAAGTATTACCCAAAAAAATCTACAAATCATACAAATTATATTATTATTTCTAGCATAAGAATGATACCATTCTTAGATTATTAATATTGAAATCGTTCAAATTGCTGAGAGCAGCTGACATCAGTCTAGGGGAAATAGCTAATATCATCTTTATCTTCTCAGCAACAGAAAAGTGCCATAACAGAAGAAAGTGCACATGTCCCAGATCAATCTGTCATTATC